ATATTTTAATCAAACTTAATACATCAAAAAAATTAAAAAAAAGGAAAAAAAAATACGAATAAGCTGATGCTCGACAAGCCTATGTGCTTAATCCAAACTGCAGGGCATGTGCTGTTTTGGTAATTGGATATTAAATCCTAAAGCTAATATGTAATGTGATTTTGTTTAAAAATATAGGGAAGCTGGTGGAGTATGAACAACCTTCAAAGCTGTTGGATACCAACTCCTACTTCTCCAAACTTGTTGCTGAATATTGGTCAAGCTGCAAGAAAAACTGATGCCACCAAAATGTCAGCAACCACAACTCATCTAGTTTGCAATATGAATTCCCTGCTCCAAGAAAATCATGATTCATGGCTGAAATCGTCGATGGAACGCAATACTTCAATTGTGGGAGTGAGAGACACTGATCAAATTATCATTTGTAACTTATAAATTAATATTAAGAATTATGTCCTTGGAAAGTTTGCTGTTAAAATTATTTTTGTGTAATGAGAAGCTTGAGGTCACTGTAAATTATGAAATGGAATAATGGACCTTCAACTTTTCATGTTGGAATAACACTAATTGTAGAGACATGTTTTACTCCTTTCCTTTCTTCCTTTTTCCTTTTTGGGTATATTCATATTTCCAAGAGCATCCCTTTACTTCTACGGAATCAAATTGATGATGGTTTCATAGTGAAGTTGATGATAAGGTTTGGAATGGATTGGTAATTAGATTTGCACTACAAGTTTCTTGATGTCTAACATTTACAGGTCTGATATACTTGTAGACATAAGAATAAAATTGAATATAATTTTGACAGAAGCAGTAGTGTTCAAGTGCTAATCAATTATTTAGTTAATATGCCCTTAATTACTTGATCATTTCATTTGAATTCCTTCCACAACTTCACATTGCAGTGAAATAAAGTAAAAATGATTTACAAAATGAACTCTTTCAGAGAATGGAAAACGAAATTGTTTTTAAAAGAGCCCCTAAATTTAGATGTTACGCAAGAAAAAGAAGGTCAAAGTGCTTCTCCTAAAGCCCACTTGGCATATTATCATGCTTATTTTGACGTACCCTACTACTTTTAAGAGAAGCACATTTCACCACTTTTTATTATCTTCACGTATGTTCTGTATCAACAAAATATATGATTTGGCACTTGACAACCTTACTGCAATATATAATGCAAGAGCTAGTTTATCATTTATGACAATTCAAATTCATTGAATAAACGTCTTAATTAGAATCGTTTATTCTTTTGGTCATCTTTTCAAGATTATCTAAATTATATTTGATTTAGAATAGTCATCCATATATAATAAAAAAATAACAGTAAATTATAAGGATGCTACTATTGTCATAACAATGATTTGTTTGGCACATATAGGTCTCTAAATTGAACAAATTTTTCTAAGATGAATATTAGATGATGATAAAAAACATGAATGGTTTCGATTATGATATTTTTATAAGGAGAAATAATGTCATATTAAATATGAATGAGGAGTGGAGTTAAGTTGTAGAGGAGGGAGGGTAAAATGACAATTTACTCTAAATTACTCAAATTTAGCAGACGTTTATTAATAATCGAACATAAGGAGGCAGACACATTGCCTTTGCCATTTTTTGACATACAAAATTGTACTTTAGACTAGGGTCTCATTTTAATCTTGCACAGGGCCTTCTAAAACATTAGACCGGCCATGTCCGTTGTACAAAACTGTTATCACGACTTTTTGCAAATTAAACTGCTCTAAAACCCTCTAGAGACAATGTGTGAGAGGTCTTAGGTTCGATTATCATTAAAGGCAAATTTGAACAACATCATTGCTAGCCCATTGTGAGGCTAAACTCACCCCCTCCTCCTTAGTGTAGATAATATCGTTTGTTAAAAAAAACAAAAATCACTCAAATACATCATGTTGATATGTTTATGTCCTTGTTCATAGCTTATGAGATTGTACGTTGTTAATTTGTGGTGATGATATCGATACCAACGTTTTTTTAACGGTTTTGCTAAACTACATGCATCTTATATTTTGACGGACAATAAATCTAAACTATTAATTTAAGTTGATTTCACTATCCAACTAATACAGGAACATGAACCATCATCTTTTCCTCGTTTGAGCGGTTTCTTTTATAAGACTATGACAACAATCTCTGTGGACTCTGCCCACGTTTCAGCCTAGGAAAGTTGCCTTTCATGACTAAGAAGGCGAGGATCAAAATCCCATTTGGTATATATGCATGCATCATAAGTTAAAAGTTAAAACATATATAAATATGTCACTAGACCGTAAAGCCTGCCAGTTAAATAAGTTTGAATGGCCTTTTGTTTTCTTCTGTTTCTTTAATTTTTTTAAAGTTGCACAATCTGTTCGTGGCAGGAATTTCCGTCAGGGATGCTTTCTAGCCGACGAGCACACAGCTCCCTGAGAGGTCGGCGCCGGTTGATGCTTTCTGTCGGGCTTCTGCTTTACTGGCGGGCTTGTCAGGCAAAGCCTGTCGAGCAAGGCTTGTCGGGTAAGGCTGAAAGAGAAGGATAGAGTTAACTTTGAAAGGTGCCTTTGTGGGGCCTTAGGTATAGGCCTTGAGGCAATCAAGATTAACTTTTAAGTGCTCAGGCGTGCCACTGCCATCTTCAACATGGCAGATGTAAAACGGATGATGAGTTTTAATTATATATATACTCGAGAGACTATGTTAATTATGACAGGTGCCTTTGTGGGGCCTTAGATGTAGGCCTTGAGGCTTCCCGTTAATAACTAACTTAGTACTCGTATATATAAGGTTCGTTTTCTTGGTTATATGAGTCTTATAACCATTATACTTCTGATTACCTGAGCCCGAAGAGCAGAATGAATCCAAATAGGTGCCTTTGTAGGGCCTTGAATAGGCCTTGAGGCTTCCCATCAGAATTCATTCTATACTCAACGTTCTAGCCCAAGGAGCAGAATGAATCCAAATAGGTGCCTTTGTAGGGCCTTGAATAGGCCTTGAGGCTTCCCATCACAATTCATTCCGTACTTGAACGTTCTATGGTAATCATAATATAATAGAAATAAAACTAAGTGACAGGTCGATTACTTGCGCCTCAAGTAACTTCGGACTTCTTGTTTATCAAAGCTTGTCGTGGATGGGTTAAGTCCACCTAAGGTTCTTTTTTTATGCCTTGAGGCCAAGGACTTTTGAGTGATCAAATCTTACATGCCCGAGGGCTTAGAACTTAGATCTGGCTTGAAATGTGAAGACATATTCAAATCGGATTCAAGCGCTGAGAAAGTCTTTTAATAGCCATATTACTAGAAATAACTTGGATACAACTTGTAATATACAACATATTGCTAGGCTAATGAATGAAAAGACAAAAACAAAGAGGATCGGGCAAGGTTTAACCTTGTCGGGCAAGGCTGATCGTCTTGCAACTTCCTATCTTTGTGGTTTATCAGGAGGTTTGAAAGCTTAGAAAAGGGGTGGGAGATGAGTTTACAGAAAGAAATCGATACTACAGCAAGAGTTGAATAAGGTAGCAGAGCTATTACAAAGGGTTTATCCCGAAAGGAATGAAGGCTTGGGCTGACTATAGCTTCGTTTTGAAGGCAAATCTGGCTTTGAGCAGAGTTTGTGCTTGTATTTGTTGGTTTGTTTGAGTGTCCTTAACTCTAATTTCTCTTTCTTCTTTTATAGACACTTTGACTTGGCCTCCTGTAACAATAATCTTGCCCGAATGCAGTTTAAAGGATAATGACTCATCAGCTATTTACTTGTACTGCCACTGTAAAGTACTTTTGGGCTGATTAGCTGACTGGTCTATACCACTTGGCCCTTGGGTAGGTGAGCAAGTGGTGCAAATGATCTGCACCTAGTCAGGAAAGGCTTTTTCTGCCTTCTGGGCTTGGGCTGTGCTTCGGGCTTTTCTCCTCTTTTTGGGCCAACTCCCTTCTGAGCCCAAAGTTTAAGTTTTAACCCAAACACAATCCTTACTTTTTTTTTCCTAAACAAACGATATTATTTATATTAGGGAAAGGAGGTGAGCTTAGCCTCACAATGTACTAACAATAAAGTGGTTCAAATTTACCTTTAGCGAGAATTGAACCTTAGACATCTAACTAAGAAGTGAAGGAATAACACTAGACCCTAGTACTAAGTGACAATCCTTACTTAATGTTTTATTAGTAAATAGATGTTCAACTCTTGCATGACGGCATGGAGTCGAACCCCCTGTCGGTGGCTAATCTAACAAAATCTATTGGACAAAAAAAAAAAGAAAAAGAAAGAGGTGACTTGTTTCTTCAGAGAGAAACAAAATGAAGGGGATCCTCCACGGCAGGCTATAAACTTTGTGAGAATGTCACATCCCATATAAAAAGTACAATTGGAAAGAACATAAATGCAGAAAACCAACATTTTCAATCTTTAATATTAGTTTTTCTATGATATGTACTACTAAATGGTTCGAAAAGTCAACAGTTAGATCTCATGTATAGAAATCTAATGGATTTTTGCATGAAATTCATACCACTAAGTGAAACATGGCAATGTAGCTAGACCCCTTTAATATGTTAGAGTTGAATCTTGTAATGGACAAGGATTGTCTGCCCTCCCACTTCCGGTGTCCTCCCATACCCTCCTGTTTGTGTGGTCACGGTTAAGCCACGTCAACATTTTAGATTATTTTTTATAGAGATAATAAGACAAAAATGAATAGTAATATAAAATGTTGACGTGGCTTAACCGTGACCACACAAAATAGGAGGGCACGGGAGAGCACCAGAAGTAGGAGGGCAAACAATCCTTGTCCTCTCGTAATTTCTGTTTAGCATGTTTTTCTCCTAACAAATGTGGTAGGTGATAGTCTACCATATACATCTGCGACGTGAATATGACAATTAGTTTTATCTGTTTGGTTTTGTGAATTTCCTAATGTAGTAAGTGTTATAATTAGGTTAATTTGACCTTTCATAGTATTACAATCCGCTATAATTCCCTTCACTTTTCAGAAGGAAAAGAAAAAAACAATTTCCCTCTTTGTTTCTTTTCTCAAGGATTATATTGATCCAATTTCTTGATCAATAAGAAAACACAAAACTTACAAACCTTGGTTTCCAACCTAAGAAAACAAAGTTAGGGTAAAATTAAGGGTTTCCATGAATTTGCTTGGCGCTATCACATCAATTAGGTCAACCAACCACACACACTTGTACATTACACAAACAGAGTAATTATTTAACTAATTTACTATTGCTGGACAGGGAGAGCTTGAGGTAGTGCCTCAACAGAAATAGTCTGCAACTTGCAATCTGCTGAAAGAAACTGAGCATTTTCTTCAATGGAAATTGAGTTGATTAGGTTTAGCAGAATCTGCTCAAGCTCCTCCCCATCAGTCCACTCATGGATGCCAGCCTTGATGAGTAATGGGTTTTTGCAGATTAGGTCAAAAAGTGGGAAGTTCTTCCTTGGCATCACAAAATCTCCTTCTTTGAGCTTCAAACTTGGGCAGTAATCTCCACTTCCATCACCAAGATAGATTAACCTTTTCTTCCCCTCAGTTGATACAGAAGTCTGGATTCTTTCAAGGATCACACTCTGTAAATAATTAAAAGTACAGTAAAATTAATAACTTCATGGTTGATTAATTTTCAACAATAGAGTCTATTAAACATTGTGTTTATATATATATATATATATATATAATATTATATACTAAAGACATCTAAATAGAGAAAGGGTATTCAAATTTGGATGCGATTAATATATTGTTTGTTATTTATATGAAGTCATTATTATGTATGAGAAAAATAGTGACCTCATGTAAAAATCCTTATTGATTATGACATATTAAAGATTGGGGGCTGACAAATAGAACACAGTGGTCATAGGATGTCCAGAAAATAAAGCAAAAATAGAGTAATACTTTCCAAGCCTTTTGGACCCGATTGTTCTAATTCTGTTGGTGCATTATATATATATATATATATATATATATATATATATATATATATATAATTATTCTAAAATATGAATATACCTTGCACATGTTGGGAGGGCAGAGGCTGCAGCCATGAGGGGAATTGGTGAAATCACAGTAAGGTGAAATCCTAAGACTTCCTTCTTCATCAACATAACTTGGGTTGGTGTTGATCTCTGAGAAATATTCCTCTAATCCAAGATGCTTCAAAATTGTCTCAATAAAAAACAGATTTGCATCACTCAAAATCCTCAAATCACACCTGCAAAACCCCACAAAAACAATAAAACCACCACAAATTAATTTTCTTATTCATAAATAATAAATAATTAAAAAAAAGAAAAAAAAGAGTAGTTTACAGAAAGAAAAGTTTGGAGAGGGTTAACATACCCTAAAGCATGAGCTGCTTTAATGGCTGGCACAACTCTTGGATGAATTGGGATCCTTTTCAGAACCTCCGCAGTGTCTTCAATGGTTTTTCCTTGCGAACGAAGCTCCTTCATCATCGTATCCTGCATTTTTTTTTTGTCAAAAATTAAACACATATTAATTAAAAAACAACATTAAACTAAACCAAAAAATTCATAAAAACAACATATATATATGCAACATAAACATATGACGAAATTAGAAACGATACGAACCATGAGTGAGTTCCAAGGCATGGTGGGGAGAAGTTGATTGAACAAGTCAGTGGCACCTAATTCATCCACCACCCAATTGTCACTATCACACTCAATGATTGTCTTGTCAAAGTCGAAAACCACCACAATTCCTGCCATTTTTTCTGAAATTTTTTGCACCAAGAGAAAAAACACACACGGAAGCAGAAGAACAAGCTTAACGAGTGTTTCTTGGTTGTTATAATTCCTTCTGAACAAACGCAAAGAAGAGAAGGGTATTTATAGCAATCCAAGTGTGTAATTAGTAGCTAATACGGATTAAAATTCCAATGGAATATTACGGGAATAAAGACGTATCTGGAATCGAATGCCCTCTTGGCTAATATTTGTTGGGTGTGTGATGGGGTTGTGGCCGTTAGATTCAAGAACTTTCGGATGGTTGGAAGATCGGATGGTGGAGAGTCTAGGGATAAGATGAGTAAAACGCGGGAATATGAGGAATATTCGAAGGGAATTGAGTTCATTCTGGTGGCTGCCCAACTTTGGAACGCACTTACCACTAACATTGGGGAATATTCTGAGCATGCTTCAGTCGGTGATCCTATTTTACCTGTTTTTTTGTGGCTGCTAAGTGCTGCGTCACACTCCACCTCTACATTTGGAGGAACCGTGTCGGTTTGGGTTCTATATTTTAATCAGAATCTTTATTAACTATAACGGTAATGTTAACAAAATTAAATTTTGTAAACTAAATAATGATTAGATTATTACTTTAAGTATTGGTTAACTAAAATTAGGGGTGTAGTCAATTTTGATTTCAGATAATTTTAATAGACTTTTTTTAAATGACTGATTTTAAAGGATTTTAATATAATTTATAATTTTATATAGATTTTGATAGTTTATTGGGTTTCCATTATAGATTTCTTTGGATTTGTATAGAGATTTTTTTTAAGATTTTACTCTTACAATATATAAAATGAATTTCTTTCCTAGTACACAATATGAAAGAAACATAAAAACTTAGCAGAGAGAACATTGGGGTAGATATTGTAATTTCTAACGTAAGAGAATTTTTGTTGGGGGGGTTCTCACCAAATATCAATATGCTAGAAATTGCATTTCAAAGAAGAGACTTGATTCTCCAACCTTTAATCATCAATCAAAAGCTTCACAGTACCACCTTACTCCTGAAACCTATATGTACACCACTAACAATCTATAATAACTTTAGCAGACCCAACACTTTAAGGCAGAGTAGACTCATTTGGGTATAATTCAATTCAGTCACATATAAGCAAACCAGAAAGACCCACAATTTAGTCACATAATATCATTAATTAAATTAAACACATCATTCATTAAACATAATCCAACATAATCCAATTAACAAAAAGTATGAATAAGCTAATTAAACATAATCCAAAATTAAACGAACAAATAAAAACTAATGTATCATGAGTCAAATCATGTCACAGCCCGTCCCAAGATTTTTATCGGAATATGTGAAAAGACGAGTTTGCCCTCGGACGTTAAAGGATGTGTGTGAATTATAATTGGGTTAAATTGTTTTAGATTGGTGACCCAATTAAAACTAAGATTTTCCTTAGTTTTGATTGGTGATTTTTGGACCACACACATACCAATCTTCTCTCTCTCCTCCCGTACTTCTCTCTCTCAGACACTCTCTCTCTCTCTCTCCCTTCTACGTACGGAAGTCAACCAAAACCTTTGCAAACACGACGGATCGAAGTGGAAAATGACACCATTGTGTTCGTGAAGCTCAGATGAACACATCCATACCATTTACAAGTAAGAACTACTTCGAAATCACGTGAAAACCCTAACCCCGAATGAGGTACTGTTCATGCAAAAATGTATGGATTGTTTTTATGGAATTTGAAGCTTATAGGAAGCTTTGTGAGGTCCCTAGGAGGCTAGGGATAGTTCGTTTGAGGATTTTGGACGTCGGAAAGTGGAGATCGACAAGTTTTAAATTTGGTCGGAAATTCGAGGTAATTTCAGATGTGTTCTCGTGAATTTCAAGGACCCAAATTGGTATATCATGATTCTACTTGTCTTTAGCTTCATTTTGGTGAAAATTTCATGGAATGGTGTTGAATTGGCTGAGATATGAAGGCTTTTCGATTTCCCAGTTTTCCGACGATGGCGAGGAGTCCGACAAGCAATCGGAGAAGATGAGCGAATATTCCGTCAGAGTTGATGGAATATTCTGACGCCGTCAGGTAAACTTAACAGAATCTGTTAGCTTTTAACAGAATATTCCTAATGGGGTTAGAGAATCCGTCAAGATTCCCTGCGCGTGGCCGCGCGTATTGTTGTGCACTTGCCGGCGCGTGGCGGCGCGTGTGGGGTCAGAAAATTATTTTAAAAATTCCTGGGTGATCGTGACGTTGTGTAGGTCACTGTGGTATATTCATATACCCAATTTGAGCTATGTATGAGAAGTTATTACATAGTTTGGTATATGTGCATTAAAGTGACGTTTATATAGTTGCTTCTCCTATAGGCGAGACCTATCCGAAGGACGAGCGTAGCCAGGTTAGGCATGGAGGTTACGACCTGGCTTCATATCTGTGAGTGGGCAGTTATTTTCAGTATATATATATATATATACTTGACATTTTTTCCTAGAAAACGTAGTTAAGGAAATGTGATTTAAATGCCATGCTATGCCTATATTTTATTTTAGTATATGCATTATCATAATTATGCATATTGTTGCATGGTGCTGTGGAGGCTCAGATAAGCTCAGGTAAGTTATGTTCGGTTATGTGAATTGTCGATGATGTGATATGTGATTGAATATTGTTAAGCTCATAAAGCTGCACTTAGGGTGATTGTGATATAGCCAGAGACATGACACAGGCCTGTTTATTATGTCACCTCCCTCACCATATGCTCATATTGGATCCAATTTAGGTGCACAGTCTTGTCGTATAGACCTTATTTATGGTTCCGACTCGTAGGTGACTAGCGATTAATCGCCCGGCTATTATGTGAGAGTAGTATTGAGCATAATTATATTACACCCATTATCGTCGTACAGACCTTTGCATTTGGTTCCGACTCTTGTGCAATATATTGCCGTATAGGTCATTGTAGTGACTCCGGTTAGATTGACTTTTGAGCTATGAATTTAGCCGTACAGACTACCACAGGGGTTCCGGCTAACATGTTATATTTCTATGAAACTATTCTTACCTGAATTGCTTATTCTGTTATATATAGGCATGGCATACATACAAATATGAATCTTGATTTTTGAGCATGATTTGAAATACATACATATTTATGTATTCTATTTTCTAGGAAAGTATCTATATACTTGTTTTACGGCGAGGGGTTAGTATATTCAAAGGAAAATAAGGTTTTCGTATAAATGTGTTTCTTCCCCTGATTCTTTGCTTGAATTATTTCCTGGGTCTCTTCATCATTCATCTGGGCCTCGAGCACACGATCAATTAAAATTGGCCTAACTTGAAAATTTGCAAGCAAGGCTTCCTCTCGATCTTCCACTCCTAACTCCACTCCAGTGGACCTCAAATCCGCTAGAAGAGGAACATGACAATCATAGATGGCATTAAGTCTAGCTGGAGTCTTCCTACTAAGTGCATCCGCCACTGCATTTGCACGACCAAGGTGATACTCAATCATGCAATCATAATCACTAAGTAACTCAATCCACCTCCGCTGCTGAAGATTAAGATCTCTTTGAGTAAATAGGCACTGAAGACTCTTATAATCTGTGAAGATCTTACATTTCTCACCAAAAAGATAATGTCTCCAAATCTTCAAAGCAAAGATGATAGCTGCTAACTACAAATCATGAGTAGGGTAGTTCTTCTCATGAGGTTTTAACTGTCTCGAAGCATACCCTACCATGTTGCATCAATACACAACCCAGGCCATTAAAAAAAGTATCACTGTAGACTTCAAAATTACCATTATCATCTAAGAGTGTTAGAACAGGTGCATGAGTGAGATAATACTTCAAGTGCTGAAAACTTTGCTCACAACTATCATCGCACTCAAACTTAACAATTTTTCGAGTCAACCTCATCAATGGCAAAGCAATCACTGAAAAATCCTTAACGAACCGTCTATAATAGCCTGCTAGGCCAAGAAAACTTCGTACCTCAGTGACGGTTCGAGGTTGCTCCCAATTCTCTACAGCTGTCACTTTCTGATAATCCACTTGAATGCCTTAAGCAGAAATGACATGTCCCAAAAATGCCACTTGATCTAGCCAGAATTGGCATTTGCTAAACTTAGCATATAATTGGTGTTCCCTCAAACTTTTCAACACCAATTTAAGATGTCTAGCATGCTCAACCTTAGACTTAGAGTATACCAGAATATCGTTAATGAAGACAATAACAAATTTATCCAAATATGGCTGGAATGCTCGATTCATCAAAACATATATCCCCTCTAGGCATAGAAAACTCTAAATCAAATCTTAGAGGTGTAGGATGGGGTTGTGTCATTTGAGCAAATGTATGAGAGATAACAGAATGTGTAGCACCACAATCAATCAATACTCTAGCAAAATGACAAAGAACATTTAATGTACCCATGATTAAATCAGGATTGTTCTGAGCATCTTGCAGTGTCATGTTATGGATATGTCCCTGATTCTGCTGTCATCCACCACGACCTCTGTTAGCATGAACACCACGTCTTTGCCTTGGCTGACCTGACTGCCTCGAAGATCCTGCACTACTAGCAGTAATCTCTGAAGGATGATTTTGTGAAAACATGTTCATTTGAATAACATCTATAGCATGCAATTAACAATTAAAAGGCGGAATCATGCTTGCATTCACTCAAAAACAAAACATTACCCATGAAATTCAAAGCCTAGTAGATTGGTGAACCAAGACTCAACTCAAATCAAAGTGAGTTGAGAAATTTATACCTTTGTAGATTCCTCTTTGCATAAGCAAAGGCTAATCACCCAAGGAGAGGGCCTTCATTCCTTGCTTCTTAGATCCATGGATTTGGATGGAAAAATATGGTTCTCCAAGTTCCCAAAATTGAGAACCTCTAAGTGTCTACACCAAGGTTAGATTGGAGAAGAAATGAGTGACCTTGGAGGAGTTGGATTGCTAGCTAATCCCTCCAAAGAGGCCGGCCTCCTAGAGAGAAAAGGAGAGACATGTTCTCTCCAATTTTCTCCAAAAGAACACACTTTTGAATTTTGGCTATAAAGTTCTTTATATAGTCACTTCTTTAAGTGACTTAAAGAACCAAAACCCTAATT